ACCCATAATCAGGAATATACCATAATTCCCATAGTTTAGGGTCCTAAAGGTAATGCAGGATTTATATCATCAACCGTACTATGCTGTACTTATAGCAACCAGGACCCCGAAACAGTAGTTTCGGCAATACTACACTCAGTGGTACACGTAATCATTCCAGCCTTTAACAGCCAGGTGTGGGAGGCTCCCTAAACCCCAAACCCTAAACCCTAAACCCTAAACCCCAAACCCTAAACCCAAAACCCTAAACCCTAAACCCCAAACCCTATACCCTAAACCCTAAACCCCAAACCCTAAACCCAAAACCCTAAACCCTAAACCCCAAACCCTAAACCCTAAACCCTAAACCCTAAACCTCGGCCCGAGGCCTGGGATGCCCTCCAGCGCCGGAGACATGGGCAGGAAGGGAACCTGAGATCTATCTTAGAAGCTGCCCCCACCCTGTAATAGTGACTATACGGATTATATTAGGGCCCTAGTATATTCCTATTATACCACTATTACAGAGAGGTGGCCCCTTCTAAGATCTATCCCAGAAATGATCCTGAAGTAAGGTTTCGGGTTTGGGGCTTAGGGTTTAAGGTTTAGGGTTTGGGGTTTCAGGGCTTAGGGTTTAGGGTTTGAGGTTGCAGGGCTTAGGGTTTAGGGTTTTAGGGCTTAGGGATTAGGGTGATATACACCGCAGACCCCGGAGTTCCTCGGAAAACTCAGGAAACTAATTTAATGTAGGGGCCTTAATCATTTGAAGAGGGTTTTGGGGTATACAATACCATGATTAGCATAAAGAACCCCGAAATAGTATACGTAATTAATTATATCAAGGCCCCTGACTTAGCTTGCAACGCCAAACTGTGAACCCAAACCCACACAGTCGGAACCGAATTCAAAAGAGCCTCTTTCGTGACTGTCTTGCCATCGCCAAGTGCTCCCTCATCTTATACATACACTACATGAGCTGGAACTGATAAGTATGTGTGCGAGTTCATAAACAAATGTGTAGACTATATCTATATCTATAATACAGACATATGTGTATGTGTGTATATATATATATATATATATATCGAGATAGATCACCGAGCGAGCCAGAGAAGGCGCATGCGACCCGGAAACCGCGATGCCCGGGATCCCAATGAGAGGGCCGTGGGGCGTCCCGAAAACGCTCAACGCCGGTTTTGAGAACGCTGCCCTTAACCCTAACACCCTGAACCGTGGGACCCTAAACTGAACCGAAAACCCTAACCTTGAAAAAAACCCTTAAACCGGGCCCCATGCTGAACCCAACACCCCGGGCCGCTATAAACCCAGAGACTCCAAGGTCCCTTAATTAAGGAATATGCCTTAAAATCAGATTAGGGATCCTACTATAATTTAAGCCAGATTCCTTAATTAAGGAACATTGGAGTCTCTGGGAACCTCCATGGCTCCCGGAGGCTCCCCGCCGAAAAAAGGGCCCCACGAGTTGGAGCTGGGGGACGGCAGCGCTCATCTTATAGCCAGCCTGCCTCGCAAAAGTGCCCCCGAGAAACGTTCGAAGCTTTGAGGGGCTTAGGGTTTAGGGTTTAGGGTTTCGAGGCTTTAGGGGCTTAGGGTTTAGGATATCGAAATTTTTGGGGGTTGAGAGTTTGGGGGGTTAGGGTTTAGGATATCGAAATTTTTGGGGTTGAGGGTTTGGGGGGGTTAGGGTTTAGGATATGAAAAGGAGCTTTTGACAAAGAGTGCTTTGCCTCGTCGAAAGTAAATTGAAGGTGGAAGCTTCAGTCCTCATGGTTTCCCGCCTTGGGATTGTGCTTCTGTCCGGCAGGTTTTGCTGCTTGGTACACAGCACAGGATATCACGATATGATACGAAAGTTTGCTCGGACTCGCTGCTGCACCCTAGATCGTTAACCCAAACTCACATATAAACTCTGATCCCCGAAGCCCCTGAAGCTTTCTCCTCGAACACCCTGAACCTCTCCTGCAAAAACCCTCAACCGCCTCTTAGCCTCTAAGCTCTAAAACCCATCCTGGAAGCCCAAAAGGTCCCCAAACGGCTCTCGGAAAGCCCACCTGGCCACGGCGCCCCGTGCCGCGACGCGGCCCCCCGCGGCAAAAGCGCCGGCGGCTGGGGCGACGGAGGCGCCGAAGGCAGCCCGGGACTCCTCCTGCGCGGGAGCGGGAGAAGAAGAAAAGGAATCTGTTGGGCGAGCATAGACACACGCACTTATGGACGTGTAAACTCTACATGCCTAAATGCACATGTACTCAGTGTGTGTGAGAGAGAGAGAGAGAAGGAGGGCGAGAGCGCAAACCCAAAGTCTAATCGGTAAACCTAGCTAGTAGAAAAGCCATTTTCTCATAGGTAAAGCTTTCTAACAGGGAAAGCATTGTCCAACAGCAAGCAAACCACTGTCAAATAGGAAGGATCGGCAACCAACACATCTGGGGATGCTCTCAAAACCTGGAACACAGAGCGTAAAGCCTCCAAGGCCTCAAACCGAAGCTGAACGGCTTCGAACTCAGGGACACGAACTTAGGCTTTAGAGTTGAGAGTTTGGGTTTGCAGTCGGGAGGCTCGGAAGGATTTGGGATCGGAGGCTTGCGGCTTCGCTGGCGATGGCTTGTGGTTCAAAGCGTGAGAGCTTCGCGTTCATGAGAGCTCACGGTCTTACGGCTCACGATTAGAAAAGCCTGAGGGTGAAGGACCTTACCAGCCCTAAATCCTACGCCCCAAACCTGCGAACTCTAAAGTTCTGGGACGTCAGAGACGTTCAGACCGTCTCAGGATCTGCTTGGAGGTGGCCAGCCTTCTGCGCATAGAGCCAAGGGAAACCGTTGCCAGTGAGGGTGGCCTGAACTCGAAGTGCTGGCCAGTTTTGCATGAGGGATCGCTGTGTGTGTTGGGATCTTCCGGGGTTGGGCCAGAGTTTGGTGCATGTTGTGTGTTCCTGGCTTTAAGGCTTTAGGGCCAGAGGTTTGGGATGCTCGGCTGTGTTTTGGCTTTCGGGTTCCGGGTTTTTGGGCTTCGAAACAGGTCGAGCAGTGCACTTTCTCGAAGGTAACACCTATCTAACTCATATATCTCAACCAGAAGCAATGCCCCAAACTCCAAGACCCCTTATGCCCTGAACCGAAAACCCCTCATACCTTAGAACCAAATATCGCCTCAGCCCTGATCCCAACCCTAAACCCTAAACCCCCTAAACCCCCTAAACCCTAAACCCCCTAAACTCCCTAAACCCCCTAAACCCCCTAAACCCCCTAAACCCTAAACCCTAAACCCTTAAACCCCCTAAACCCTAAGCCCACGGATCTGAGACCCTCCTGGATGGCGCCTGAGTGATGGCACCACCGAAGGCCAGCATGGCCAGGCGCCCGTTCTTCAGCTCCTTCAATTTCATCTCCTGGCTCCGGGGCGAGGCGTAGGGCGCTCTTTTTTAGCGGGGGTTTGTGGGTTTCGGGGGGTGGTGATGAAGGCTTCGGGGTTTAGGGCTTAGGGCTCTTTTGAGGTGAGGCTTTAGGGTTTAGAGATTGCGGATTGGGGATTTAAGGGTTTTGGGTTTAAGACTATTCAGGGTTTAAAGGTGGTACTATCTGTAGAGGGGCTGAAGCTTTCTTGGACTGAAAGGAGGGTCTCTTACCGCCCGGACTTATAAAGGTGTTGAAAATCGAAATCTCAAGCTCAGTTGACTCGCGCAGACAACTTCAGGGTTTAGGGTTCGACCTTTTGGTGTTGAGGCTTTAAGCCTTTGGGTCTTACAGGGAACTCCAGAAAGTTGGAATATGGATTAATGGTAGGATCCCCTATAATTTACCTTAAAGGGGTTACGATAATGATATTCCAACTTTCTGGCTTCTACTGTTAACTGTGGGGCTGGCACCGAAGGCGAATACCCTGCTCAGCAACCCGGGATTCCCACTCTGGGGTGCCCTAAACTCCGAAGCCTGACCCAGAGACTCCGATATCCCTTCATTAAGGAACATTCCTTAAATCAGATTAAGGATCCTACTAAAATTTAAGGAATATTCCGTAATTAAGGGATATGGGAGTCTCTGGGGACTCCCAAGAGCGCTCGTCTTCTTCCCATGGGCCACCAAGGAAGAAGAAGAAGTTCAGAGAAAGCAGTACTACGAAAACACACGTCAAGGGCGACTACGCCCAAACCGAAGCCCCCTAAACCTAATCCCTTGAACCGATATCCCAACATAAATTCGATCGATCTCGCCATAAACCCTAAGGCCCTAAAACCCCCCAACCAAAAACTGAACCTTAGAGAACCCGGCACAAGTCGCAGAGCTTCAGCACGGACTAGAAAACCAAAAGCAGCCTGAAGCCTGTAACACAAGCCCTAGACTCTATGCGAAAGCCCAAGGCATTCTAGAACCCCTATATAAACCAGCCATGTTATGTAACATGACTAAAGGGTTTAGGGTTTAGGGTATAGGGCTTAGGGCTAAGATCACCTTTATGAAAGGTGCGTCCTTGACCTTGGCTGGGTCGCTGGGCAGGAAGGAAGTGCCCAGCTTGTAGTCGCCTGAGAAAACACGGCGTCTTAGATTTTGGTGTATCCTCATGGGTTTAGGGTTTCGGGTTTAGGGTTTCGAGTCTAAGGGTTTAGGGTTTCGGGTTTAGGGTTTCGAGTCTAAGGGTATAGGGTTTCGGGTTTCGGGTTTAGGGCACGCGCGGTTGTACGTACTGTGCGAGGCTTTTGCGTGCATCATAACTCATGGCTCGTAACCTTTGAGTCGGTGTGTTTGAAGCTTTTTGATGAGTTCGAAGCTTTTTGAAGATGATCACCCTAAACCCTAAACCCTAAACCCTAAACCCTAAACCCTAAACCCTAAACCGTAATCGACGTAGCTTCCTACTCAAGACCCGGCTCCCCTTAGGCTGAAGGATGTTGAGCTTTGCGCTTTGCGGCTTCAATAAACAGTAGCCCTTATAGACTTATAGACCCTGTTAAAAGGAACCCTTATAGGAGATCGAAGTTTCACAGGGCCGGCCTGCGGACTCGAGCGTCAGGCCCGGCTTGTTGGAAACGTTGCAGGACTGAGAGAGGCCAGGTTTTTGTTTTCAAAAAGGAGACCAGGGCTATTTTTAAACAAAAAGGAGACCAGGGTTGTCGTAAAGAAAGAGACCAGGGTTACTTTGTAAAAAAGAGACCAGGGTTACTTTTTGAAAAAGGAGAAGGGTTCGGGATTTAGGGCTGAAGGCCCTTTTGTCGATGATTGTTGGGTGCTCTACGGAGGGCTTTCGGGCTCTAGACTTACAGGGGGTATGCTTTTTGCTATATCTGGGGTTTGGGGCTTAATGCTTTGAAGGTTTGCGGATCTCGGGTTTAGGGTTGTTGGGGGCTGACACGGGCAGTCTCAGCGTGGACGGGCTTGGAGTTCAGGGGTATGATGCCATCTAAATTGGTGCACGATTCGGCCAAATTCGGCCACCAAGCTGTAGCAACGGTGATCGGCGAGGGATCAGCCAGACATGGCATCATGGCTTACGCGGGGCTTTGAAGTTTTCGCGTTGCAATATCGCACCTTAGCATGCTACTGCACGCAGCTGAATCAAAAAGACCGAATGCATTTGGCCCAAACACCACACCCCATCCAGAATTTCCAGTTTACAGATGCAACTGGATCTTCGGTAAGCCGGGATTTTCTGTATCCATCAACACCATCCGTGCAGAAGGCTCGTCGTGCTAAGAGGGGCTTAGGGCTTAGGGTGTGGGGTTCGGAGCCTTGGCAAAGGTGGTGAGCATCTCAATGAAGCCGCAGAAAGCGAAGACCTGCATGAGATCCGAGATCCCGTCGGCCAGGGTGCGTTGACGCTTCAGGTGTTGAGGGCTTGGAACTCTACAGGCTGCAGGGCCTGGGGAGTTCGGGGAAGTGCATACAGATTCAGGTTCAAGAGCAGTAACAGCAATGCTAATGGGAGTGGCAAGGGTCACAGCAATAACCTTAGTATTTGTGCGAGTAGTAGTAAGACTAATCGTGACAGGAGTTACGATAGTGATAGTAACAACTGACAACTGTGACACCTGCCCACTCCTGCTTGCTCAAGTGAAGCGCTCTTGTTTGCTGGCAGCCGGCAGCCAATCTCTGGTGTTTAGGGTTTGGGAGTTTAGAGTTTAGGATGTAGGGTTTCCCAGAGACTCCAATACCCCTTACTTAAGGAATATTCCCATTATAGTAGGATCCCTTGTATGATTCAAGGAATATTCCTTAATTTAGGGGGTATTGGAGTCTCTGGGTTAGTGGATTTAGGGATCAAGCTGCCATGCCAAATTCTATCGGCCTCGGGCACCCCAAGAACATTGACGGCAGCGGTTTAGGGTTTAGGGTTTAGGGTTTAGGGTTTAGGGTTTAGGGTTTAGCGTTTAGGGTTTAGGGTTTAGGGTTTAGGGTTGCAGCACTGGTGTCACAGGGTTCATAAATCCCACAACTCGGCAAGCATCATCAGCATCATTTGCGGGCAGTGGTCGGGAAAGCACCGCGATAAAGCACGACATGGGCAAGGACCAAGAATGAATAGAATATTCAAGGGTTGCTGAGCAATGTGGGCCAGCATCATGAGCATCATTTGGGCCGTTGGTGTGGGAACGTCGCGATACAGCACGACGTGTGCAACGGCCAAGAGGGCTAAGACGTCTGATGGAGGCTAGACGGCTGTTGTCGAGCAACTTGGGCCAGCATCATGAGCATCATTTGGGCAGTTGGTGGGGAAAGCTCAAAGATAAGGCGCGATGTTGGGAAAGGCTACCGTAACATAACCAAAAAATCTAGGCGTTGTTGGACGGCTTTGCCAGGCAACTTGGCCAGCATCATGAACATTACTTAGGCCGTTTATTGTGGGGAGCGCAAGGAAACCCGACGAGAGCAAGGGTCCAAGAAGCAACTTGGGCCAGCATCAGCAGCATGATTTGGGCCCTTGGTGGAGCGAACGCCACAAAAAGGTGCGTCGTGGGCAAGGGCCGAGAAAGCTAAATCTTTGGGTTGCACGGCTTTGTCTAAACAACTGGGCCAGCATCATGAGCATCATGTGGGACGGACGCCACGATAAGGCGCGATGTCGGCACGGGGTCAGGAGACGCATCTAGCGGCCATCATGAGCATCATTTGGGCCTCTGGCGGAGAGAATGCCGCCAAGACATCCAGGGTTGCTGGACGGCTTCTGTCGAACAACTCACCCAAGCATCATGAGCATCATATGGGCCGTTTGCGCTTGCAGCGCCACAAACAAGCGCGATGTGCACGGGCCAAGATAGCTAGATCATCACTAGCAATCAACTCGGGCCAGCATAGTCAGCATCACTTGAACCGTCGGTGGTAGGAACGCCACGAACGCGCGACGTGGACAGCAGCTAAGATGGCCAAAACTTCTTGAGTTTGCTGACAGGTCTTGGGCAACGCTGCTGCGTTGAAGCAAGCGGAGGATGCTGGAAGCAATTCTTGGAAACCCTCTGTGGGCCGGCTTTGAGACGTTTCTGATCACTGAGTGATGGGCCAGCTTCATGAACATCATCTGGGACGATTTCGAGATTTCAAGCCTTTGCTGAAATGGAGACCGGATGAAGATTATGATGCTGGACTCCGATGGCCGCCGTATCCCACACAGATCCCGCAGAGCATTCTAAACGATGCAGTGATGCTTCCTGCACATGCGTGATGCACGTCTTTCGTGATGCGCCGTGCTGTTGAAGAAGGTGATAGGGTCGGTGCATGCCGCAAGGGGGTACATATAGCTCGAAGCACTGGGGGTCAAGGGGCACCTTGGGCCATCGGGTGTTTGAAGGTGTACAACCTTCCTTACATACAGCTGTAAATAATCTCGACCGTGCAAACTCACCGATTTCGTCATGAAAACTCACCTCGGAAGATCACGAGAGGGAAACCTACCACATCGTACCGCATTATCTCGTGCCCAAACCCAAACCCTCCACCCCTACAGCCCTAAACTCCAACCCCCGACCTGGAAGAGAGGGCCTTGCTGTCTGTCGGTGCCAAAGAAGTCCTGCGAGGAACGACCGATAGAGGCTGCAACCTCTAAGCAGTTTCGGACTTCGGGTGGCTAGAAGGGTTGTTGTATTTGCCAGGAGGCATAAGGGCTCCTACTCTAAGGGCTACTGCCAAAGTTGCGATGAAGGTTTCCGGCTTCGGACAGGCAGTTTTTGGATGAATGGCTCGAGCTGATAGTTTGGCGTTTAGGAGTGCGTTTAGGGCGCAACTGAGGGCTTCATGGCTTAAGGCCTTCACTGTTGCATTGAGGTTGGGGCTTCTGCAATCAGGACAAGGAGTGTTCAGGTCTGAGTGAAGAGGCAAGGCGTGGCGGCCCAATGCCCCAAACCCAAAGCCCGGAGACAACTAAGGCGCTCTAGGTCACCAAGAACCTGAAGCTACTAAACCCAAGCTCCTAGCTACCCACCCTACATCCTAATCCCTAAAGCCTACTTAAAGCCTACTTCTATCACCACTAGTGCTTACCATGACTCGTTGTTGAACATGCAAGACCCTGTCCTCTGCGTTGACAAGGAACGGGAAGGGTGGGTTGCCCACGCAGGCGTTGTGTGCATCCACAACGGATTTCGCAGCATAGCATGCATCTGGACCTTACGGGGTTTGGGTGAGTTTATTACTCAAGGGGTCACGGAAGGGCGCTTCCCAAATTTAAGGAGCTAAGCTGTATGGATATGTCATGAAGGACCATGACGTCAATCCTGCCAAATCCTCTACTGACTCGACTACAACAACCAGCAATGCTAGTAAGCTAGTAAGATCCAACGGTACGAGATTAACAGTGATGACGAAGCAAAGAAACGTGATCACGACAGCTGAAATGACAAACAAAACAAAAGGGCTAGTGGTCGTGGAATGATTGCAGCGCCAACCGTCGTGGTACATGTGATGGCAGCAATCTTAGTTGTTCAGGGTCACAGCGGGTACAGCATTGGTGTCTAGAAGCAGCAGCAACAACAGCAGAAGCAGCAGCGGTAGTGGTGGTTGCAGTAGTCGTCGTCGCCGCCGCTGCACCAGCAGCAGCAGCAGCAGAAGGTTATGCAGTCTTGGGTTCAAAGTTCAGGGTTCCCCACCCGTGCTTGAACCCACGGCGGGCAGCCGGCCTGGGATGCGAGCGAACTCCGGAACGACGAGGCCAACAAAGGCGAGCATCGCAATGCGGCCATGCTTCCTCGGATCTTGGGCTTGGGGCCAACTTGGAGGGTCGGGGGACTTAGTAAGTGGGTAGTAAGTAGACTTATAAGTACCCTAAAAGGGATCCTAGTTGGGGTTATGGTACTTATAACTCTACAAAATAACCAGTTAGTAAGTCCCCCGACCCTCCCAGAAGGGTCCAGGGAGTCCAGGGTTCAGGGCCTCGGACTGGGGTTTGCTGGTCTGGGGCTCATGACTGGGAGGCTGGGCTGGCTCCAAACTTCACGCAGGCTGGGGCAGAAGACTTCGAAGGGTTTAGGGTTTAGGGTTTAGGGTTTAGGGTTTAGGGTTTAAGGTTTAGGGTTTAGGGTTTAGGGTTTAGGGTTTAGGGTTTAAGGTTTAGGGTTTAGGGTTTAGGGTTTAGGGTTTAGGGTTTAAGGTTTAGGGTTTAGGGTTTAGGGTTTAGGGTTTAGGGTTTAGGGTTTAAGGTTTAGGGTTTAGGGTTTAGGGTTTAGGGTTTAGGGTTGGGTACGGCCCCCATACAGTAACAGCCTATAATAGGGCTATTCTTGAGGGCCGAATAAATCTATATTATGAGTATTATCCAACTGTTACTGAGTGGGGGCCGTACCCAACCCATAAAGACCCGAATTGGGGTGGCGGCGAGGGGCAACTCTCCTTCTGGGTGATCTGGCCCGTCCCAAGAGTAACTCCCAGCCTACACCCTAAACCGTCCCAGACCCTAGACCCCAAACCTAAAACCCTACACCCTGAACCCCAAACCCGAAGCCCTAGCCGCAAACCCCTAGACCCCAAACCCTAAACCCTAGACCCCAAACCCCAAAATCAAAACCTAAACCCAAAACCCTAAACCCTCGACCCCAAACCGCAAACCCAAAACCCAAACCCTAAACCCCAGACCCCAACCCCTACACCCCGTTGCGAACAAGCGTCAGCTCGGCCTCGCAGAGGCTTGGGTGTAGGGTTTAGGGTTGAGGGTTAAGGGGTGTACGGGGTTCCGTAAGGGGGGTTTATGGGGTGTTGGTGTATTTACGTGGCTTTTTACTGCGTTCCTGACGGTTTCTTGTCGGCAGGGATTAGATCCTATACTGCGAGAAACTAGTATAAACTAGTATACTATACTACTATATACTATGATATACTCTTATATACTATTATATACGATGATATGGTATTATATGCTATGATATACTTTTATATACTATGATATAGTGTTATAAACTATGACATACTATTATATAGTCTTATATACTATTTTCATCGGTCTCCGCTTCCGTGGCCTCGGCTCAAGTGCCTGGGGTATACTCTCAGGGACGAAGGATGGAGTTCGGGGTTTAGGGTTTCGGGCTTAGGGGTTTAGGGTTTAGGATTTAAGGTTTAAGGCTTAGGGTTTAGGGTTTAGGATTTAGGATTTAGGGTTTAGGGCTTAGGGTTTAGGGTTGGGAGTTGGGGTTTAGGGCCGAAGGGCTGTAACTACTATCTCCCTGATCAAGCTCGACGCACCATGAGGCCGAGACCCGACTTTGCACCAGGTCTTTGAACTCTTGAAGTTTCGTGTCTGGTTTAGGGTTTAGGGTTTAGGGTTTTGGGTTTAGGGTTTTGGGTTTAGGGTTTAGGGTTTTGGGTTTAGGGTTTAGGCTTTAGGGGTTTTTGTCGTTTTGAGCTTACGAGGAGTGCCCGTGCACGGAACGGAGTGGGGTAGGAAAGGCGCTGGTGGAGAACCTCCCCGGCTGAAGCTGGTTTAAGATTGCGCTTCGACCGCCCCAAAGTTTCGGGTTCGCGGTGGCACCTGCCTGTAGCGAGATCTTTCCCCAAAACGTCGGACTGCTTATGCCTGCATGCTCCACGGCCACTCAAATCTAAAGTTCACAGCCCTTGAGTGCAAGACAGCGAACCCCGGGGCTTGCCTCACTATCCTGTACCATGTTATACCATGCCATAACCCCTCCTACTCAGCATACTATACCATACTATACCATACTAGACTATACTATCCTATTCTTTCCTTTGCCTTGCTTTACTACACTTTCCAATACTGTACTATACCATGCTATAACCTCGTACTCAGCAAGTCCGTGGCCTCACGGAACCAGGGGAGGTATTTCTCGCACTTCACCGACAAGCCCAGCGGGTCAAAGTTGAAATCCTCACGGCGTGGGACACAGGAGGCCGAGGACAGATCAACAAATCCCCAAACCTTAAACCCTCAACCCGAAGCCTGAAACTCCCAACCCTCGTCGAGGTTTCCAATCAGAGAGAGGGGTAGGGGTTAGGACCAAATGAGTTTTGGGGGGGGTTAGGGTTTAGTATCCCCATCACTGCATGATGCAACACACTTCTTCACTACCAGCAATCACTGTGTGATCCAGATGGCTCTTCAGCAGTGGATCTCTGCAACTCTGTGCACGCTGTACCTATGCTTATCTTGCTGTCTGGGAGACATGTAATGACTCAGTGAAAACTGCGCATGTACACTACCGTCAGGCCACAGACAGGGTCTGGCATCGCAGGGACTAGAATGGCAATCTCCGCCGTCAGATTTGCAAAGAATGAACAGTATATGCTCTCCCACATGTGCTTTCCGTCAGGAAAGCGCCGAACCACGCCCAGAACTGTGCATTTTCTGGCTCCTTTTCATGACAAAACCTAATAGATAAGTCATGAGTAGCAATGCAAACCCGCAGTCTGGGGGTCGCCTTGCTGACACTTCGTGCTTAAAGTTTAAAAAGCGTTGACGAAAAGCTCGTGGGAGCTAATGCCTAATCCGGAGGAGGTACGGTTGATGATATAAATCCTGCATTACCTTAAGGACCCTCAACTATGGGAATTATGGTATATTCCTTATTATGGGTACTGCAGGGTTTATATCATCAACCGTATTGAAGTACTTCCAGGCGCAGAGGCACGGGGCAATGAGCTAAAGGCCCAGCAAGCCTTGAAGACATCGAAGCCTAGCTCACAAACCCGCGTCCCTATACCGCCTTCCTCTTCGAGGGCTCATACTGTTGATGGACAAAATCCTGCATTACCGAGGTCCTTAGGGTCATGCAGGATTTTGTCCATCAACAGCATACCCTGAACCCTCAGGGCCCTCAAAGGGGAAAAGGAGGGACCCTTCATGGGGACCCCTACCCTACAATGGGCTATATATTGGGAACATAATCGCTCTCTTAAGTGTATATACCTAGGGGTCCAGACCTCCTGTTACGCTTGGAGGCCCCCAGAACCACAGCCCTAAGATCGCCTGGCCCGCGAAGGCAGACTCGTTGCCGATGAGGCCCCCGGCGAAGGGCTTCTCGCTAGTGGTGCCAGTGGCCTTCAAAGAGCTCCAGGCATCTTCAGGAACTTGGAGGTTTTAGACTTTAGACCGGGTTTTTTTTTAGGGATTCTGTTTGGGTTTAGAGCTCAGGGGGGGGCTCGAGGCTTTCAATGGATTTCGTTTGGACTCAGGATTCCTGCGCCCCCCCTTTTTGGGGTAGTTATAAGGGTTCCTTTAAGGGGCCCTTGAAAAGGGATCCATCAGGATTCTATAAGGGTAGAGGGTTTAGGGTCTACTTGGAGGTTCATGGGTAGTTATAGATGGGGCTCTGAGTCACCTAATAGGGGTCATAACAAAAGTTACCCTAATTATAACCCCACTTACAACTACCCATGAACCTCCAAGTAGACCCTAAACCCTCTACCCTTATAGAATCCCTATAGATCTCTTTAAAGGGACCCTTTAAAGGAACCCTGAAAACAACCCATGAACCTCCAAGTACCGTTCTTTGGTCCTTCTCAAGCAACCGAAGCCCCCCAAAACCCTGCTTGATTTATTAAGGCCCCTATAGTACCTGATTGCAAGGAGCCAGAGAGGGAAATGATAATTGATTAAATTAGAAACTCCCAAAACCCCTCGAAGCCTACCGAGCCCGTATCCCCCTTGGAAGTTTCCGAAAATGGGGGACCCTAATAGAGTACCCTAAATAGCAGGATCCTTATTTACAGGACCCCTAAACCCTAAACCCTAAACCGTGCCTCTGCCATGCGGGCAATGATCCCTCCGCGCCCGGCGCGGCGGGACGAGGCTCCCATGGCCAAAGCTGCGGTGGCCACCGCCGTGGCCGCAGCGGCCTCCATCTCCGCTCTGTCTTTTTTTGGGGTTTTGGGGTCTGGGGTTTAGGGTTTGGGGGTTTGGGGTTTAGGGCTTTAGGGGTTTTCCCCGTCCAGGGCTTCGGTTTGCTGAAGGCTGGGCTTTCTGGAGTTTCGGAGGCTTTGGAAAGCTTTGAAGGGCATTTTTAAGGCTTTAGCTTTGGGATCTGTGATCAGTTGCAGAAGCGGGCTACTTCTTGTACGTTTTTACTCTCCATCATACCATATGAAACAAATCTGTGTACTCATACAGCAACTTTGCTTGAAGGGACGTTTAGGGGATGGACGTACAAGGGATCGGCACCACACCTACACAATTCTGACATCAGATGTAGGTTTAGTTACGGTACACGTATCATATGTGGGGTTTGGGGTCCAAGATACGGGAGCAAAATGACAAATGCATCGGCACAGTGCCTGCACTCCGCTGACTCCCTCGCGGGACGGCGCTGCCGTGCCCCTGAGCGAAGGTGCGGCGGCGGGCGCCCCGGGGGCCGCGAATGCCTCTGCTGAGGCTTTGGGATTCTTTCAATGCTTCCTGTGAGTGTTCCTTTAAGGGTTGCTGTGAAGTCTAAGACAGGGCTTTGAACTAGGGTTAGAGAGTTCAGGCTTGAGAGCTACTCTCAAACCGGGTGGAGGGTTCAGGTTTGGGCTGATTGAAGGCTAGCGGCTAGCGGCTAGTCACTAAAGGGGACGGGCCGAGCCCGAACGCAAAGCGAAAAACACTAACTTAGAGCCAAAAAACTTCTCAAGTTGTATCAAAGCCGGGGGATCTGAAACACACCGACACCAAGTCCCAAGAATCGCAAACACCCCAAACAACCCTGCACCCTAAACCCGGGACCCTAAAGCCCCAAACCAGACGCCCATGTCTCTCAGCCCAAAATCTGACACCACAATCCCATAATACTACAATACCACAATACTGTAATACCATAATACTACAATACCATGATATTAGAATGCCATAGAAATACAATACCATAATATTATAATACCATAATCCTACAATACCATAATATTAGAATACCATAATGTTAGAATACCACAATATTATTACAATACCATAATTTTATAATATTACAATACCATGATATCAACTCTCGAGCCCGGCCCTCTCGAACCTTTGCAATGAACATTCACCTCTAAGGAGCCCGTGTAACTTGGCTTTATTTGCAAGCCTGACGGTGACCATTGTGGTAGCCCTTGTACAGCAAGTTCATAGAAGATCTAAGCCCCAAAGGACCATGAAACCTAAAATCTGTCAAACAAAAAACCAAAAACCCCAAAGGACCATAAAACCTAAAACCTGTCAAAAAAACTAAACAAGACTGGGGGCCCCCACTGTGGAGCCCACCAGGGACGCCGCGCCCAGGGCTCCGAGGGTCACCCCCATGGCCGTGGACCTGCTCGGCTGACCACGGCGTTCATGAGGCTTTGGGCTTGGGGTTTAATAGGGTTTAGGGTTTGGGTTTAGTGCTGTTGAAGGCTTCGGTTTTAGGGTTCAGGGTTTAAGGTTTCAGTAAGAAGTTGCTCAGGGTTCTGGTTAAGGGCCTATGGGGTTCAATGAGGGTTTCTTTCCAAGTTTCTATCGGACATTTCTCAGGAGTCTCAGGGAGAATCACTACAAGAAGTACCATGCATAAGGGCAACGACGCGGGCTACTGTTTGAATTAACGCGAAGGTTTACATAAGCCAACACAAGGCTTGTAGAAGGTTTTCTAGAAGCGCTACCGGTGTTGAGGCGGTTCTGCACGTGTCTGTGTTGGAACATGTCTGTTGCCATTCTGTCACTGATAAATGCCTTCCTTGAAAGCTCCTCTGCTCAGCTGATGTTTTCGGATCCCTATGCCTATCCCTGTTGTGGGAGAGGGATAACACAAATGGATAAATACTCAAACAAGAATTTACGAAGAGTCTTGAATCAGGGGCCTGTGTTTTCTCGACTGGGTGAAGGGCCCTTCGTGCCCCTCGCAAGGCACCCAGGGCCTCACTGAAGCAAGCCACGCTTCAGGTCGCGGGTCGCGGACCGTCGTGAGTTCCCCCAATTTGGGTTCGAAAGCCCGGCAATCGTTGCTTCCCACGTCTGAGATATGGGAGTTTCCGAAAATAGGGGACAGCAGCTTAAATAGTGGGATCCTTATAATAAGGACCCCAGCATGAGGTACCCCTAATTCTCGGAAACTCCCATATCTTGAAACAACTCGGCTTGGGTTTCACGTCTTGTTTCGGAGTGCGTTGGTTCTCCTGATTCTGCCGATTTCCACGCCCCAAGAAACCCCCTAAGCCCGGAAAGCCCCAAACCCCAAAATGCTGAGCCCGAGCCCTGTGTTCCCCTCCGAAACCCTCCCTTCTTCCCAGAGAGCCCAATACCCCTTAAGGAATAGATCTTAAATCATGATATGAAGACCTATATAATTTGAGCCATATTCCTTAAGGGGCCCCTTGGGCTCTCTGGGTTTGGGGAGCCCTGGAGCCTGGAAGCCATCGCTGAGTAGTCGGGAAAGGTTCACGAATCGAGCGACTGCCGGAGCCCTTCGAGCCAAGAACACCACCGGTTCAGGGTTTAGGGTTTAAGGTTTAGGGTTTAGGAAGCGCTCGCCAAGAGACGTCGATGTGTGAAAAGCTAAGCCTTAGAAAGGGCGGGCAGTGCAGCAGTTCATGGCGAGACTTTCAGACAGCACTTTGCGGGCTCCCCCTTTTTTGCACCTCCTTCTGCAAACTGTACACACGAGAGAAGGTCGCAGCTGTACACGAATCCAAGGTTAAGGTTGGGGAAACATCTCGGTGTCTGCGGGTCACACCCGCAGCGGGGGCCGTTTCCTCAGCTTGTCCGCGTGTCGTGTGAGGTTGTGCATTGCCCTCAATCTCTCCAGCTTCTCGTGCCCCTGAAGAGGACAATCTTGAGCTTCTTGCTGCTGCTCTCGGAGACTGGCGAGTTCTTGCATCTTCGCAACTCGAACCAAGGTATCAGGACCTGCAGCCTTATCCTTGATGTAGATGGTGAGAACAGGAGTGGCCCGATCTCCCTCCATCTGCGGCTGGACGGTATGTGGAGTCACAGACCTGATATAGTAGGACCCTCTCTCTTGATGCGTGTGAGCTGCGACGACGCTTAAGCTTCCCGGCTTGTCAAATGGCTGCTCGAAGAGGGGATCTCTCGTGCGATTGACGACGAAGTAGCGTTCGCCTTCGGACCCCTCGTCTACGCCCCAAATCTTGTGCCAGTACGTCCCGCTGAGACAGTAGCTGAAGAAGTTCGAGCGGTGGTTGTGAATGTAGGTCTCTGCCGGATCCATAAACATGTGTAATCTCACTTCGATGCTGGTACCATCAAAGAGGTGTACCCGCGTCATGATGCCAGGAACCTCATCCACAAGCGTGCTGTGATCAAAGCATGTTAACCAACTGGCTCCAGAAATCCAGTCTCGCATCAACTGTCCAAGTCTTGAAATCTCAGCTGTATCCTTGGATGCTCAACCCACCGGGCACTCAATCCATTCATGCTGCTTCTGCCATGACTGTCGAGTGGCGCGGCGGCAGAAGCCCGGAAGCCGGATGTGATGTGGCAGCTTGAACAAGCTACGACTACTATCCTTTCACCCGTAGGGTTCCGATTACAGGATGTGTATTGTCAACGGTTTAGGGTTTAGGGAATACTGCATTCTATCACATGAGGCCGAGTCTCTTTGGACTCCTCCAGCAGCTTCGAAGGCCTGGATTGCACTGCCGCATCTAGCGCACGGATGGCCTCGAAAGCTTGCTGGCGCAGCTTCTCCTGCAATCCACTTGAAGCTCTGAAAGAAAAAGAACATCTGCACCTCCTGCTGCCTGTCCTCCGAAAACACTGCGAAAGTTGAGTTGCAGACTTGTCTACTCTTTGTTTCAAGTTTCAACATGCCGGACATTTGCTGGCACGACATGTCAAGACTCAAGCACAAATCCCTGCCTGGCAGTTGTACCGTTTGGGAGACTCTGTGGCAACGATCCACTCCGATCCACGAAGCTTGTGCACTTCGAAACGCGGACGGCCATCAGCGTGGCTCTGGTCATGTACGATCTGCTTCAGCAACTCACTGTTGCCTTTGAAGCTGGGTAGGTCCAAGGCGATGTTCCATGGGCAGCTGCAAAAATCTACCTGCTGCAGGAATGTTGAAAGTTGCTTTGATGCTTCCCTTTGCTCTTGGCGCCACGAAAGCCCTTTGGCCAATTGGACCACCTCCCCATCAAAGATGTAGCGGGAAACACCATTCTTGGCAGAGCATTGCAAAGATGTGATGAGCTGCTCCCGGCTCCACAGGCAACCATTGGCTCGGAGATGTTCCTCGATGTCATCCAATTGCATGGCGCCGCCAAAGCTGCACAGCAATGTCTTTGTCCGCCTGCTTATTTGCTCTTGGAGCTGCCAGGAGCATTCAGGAGGAGCCCTGCACTCATTGTGTCCAAGGATGTCATTCGCTAATGCAATTACCTCCCCGTCAATGCTGAACCGCGGAGCTCCATTTTTGGCAGACGTGCGCAATGCGTGCAAGAACTGCTGATAGTCAAGAGTCTCGCCAAGCTCGGAGCTCACCATCTCGTGGATTTGTTTCAAAGGCAGTGGGCATCGAGAACGGCGCAACAACTTCTTGGCGGACACGCTGATCTGTGTCGGGAAAAACGAGTCGTGGCGACTGCGCGTCATTGATAATGTCTCCTGTGCAACTAAGCCCTTGACTCGAAACACTGCATCAACGAAGCAAGAGGAAAGCTCATCATGAATGCTTGTCGACAGAAGTTGCAATGAAAATCTTTTTGAATGCTCAACGAACACTAGCGGAGTACACACATGTCCAAAGCACATGTTTGCAGTCACATGCAAGAAAACAAATCACATGATGTAAATGGGGATGCTAGGAGGCCAATATGTTCAACACCCCGACACTGCACGAAGCTAAACTTCAGAGGATTTGCCGACCCCCTTCTCAACAACAGCTTGCACTTATATGCACTCAGATTGGTCGTCTTGTTTGAGCCCTGCCATAAACGGTCAATTGATTCGTCACTACACTACACATCACACACGCTGTACAGCTACTACTATATAACTCTATAACATTGTTTCTGAAAGCTTGGAGACTCACCCAGGCATAACCTGTCACACAAGACAGACTGGCTCGCTTGTGGACACGGTGCTGGTTGGGTACGGTATCTGTCTGAACATTGTCAATCGGATGCTTGCGGATGCACCGCAACATGTCAGCGGCTAACGAAAAACCGCAATGCATAAATGGTCAGGCGTCTGGCGTTCCCCGCCCCCCCCCCCCCGCCGTGGTTGCTGTGCTCGATGCTGCGGCCTGGCTTGCACTGTCTGACGGCTGCACCTCGGACACCTGATTGACGCGGCCTTTCTCATGCATTTGCTTAAGCCAGCAATCTTTCAAGTGCCCCTTGCGCTCACAGTAACGGCATGTGCGCGTCTCACCAGAAGGCTGCGAACCCTTAGGATTGTTGCCTTTGCCCTTTCCTTTCTGCTTGCCTTGGCTCTAACCACCTTTACCGCCTTGCTGCTTGCCGCCTTGACCTTTCCCTTTCTGCTTGCCTTTACCTTTGTCACCTTTGCCCTTGCTTTTGCCCTTCTGCACGCGATCAACCTCGATGGGTGTGGGACCGCCTGAGAACAACGCTGCAATGCCCAAAGTGTTTTTTTTTGGCGTGGGCGGGCCTCGTCGACTACGGCTGTGGCACTCGGTCCCTACAAACAAGACAAACCAACAAACGAACACAAACAGCGGTGAAACAGGGCGGCTCGATAAAAAGAGGCAAAGAGCTAGCTGCGGCGCACAGGCTTTGCCGGTGTTGGCCTGCAATGCCAAAAGTGCTGGCAATTAAAGTGCTCCACTTTGTCTGGGAGGTGTCCCAGCGCTCAATCAAATTCCGAAGATCCTGATACGTGGAGCTTTCCGTGATCAACACGGTAGCCTGGGTACGAAGTTGTCCAGACAGACGGCGAAGGACGGCGGCCTAACGATTGTCGTCTTTTTTTTTTGCGTGGGCGGGCCTCACAGACAGCAGTTGCTGCACTCGGTCCCAGTAAGAACTACAAGAACTGTAAGAAATCACAAGAAAGCTATACAGAAGAGCCTAACGGGTGAAACAGGCCGCGACTTGCAGACTTAGCCAGCAGGGATCGTTCGGCCTTGCAAGGGTAGCTTCTCTCAGATGTCCTTTTCCCGAAAGAGCAGCTTGAAACATGCATCCATCAACCAGCACGCCTCATAGCCAATGCGTGGCGGAAGAGCAGTTCATTGACACCGCAGCCAGGGTCTCGCAATGTGGATCACGCAGGGGTGGCCCAGTGCGGTCACAATGAAAGGGAGAGGCCGTGCAGGTGCAAGCCAGCTCTTTCTTAGCGCACCAGTCGAATCAGACCCAGCTTCCCAATGGTGGGCATCGCAAGGGTCAAGAAAGAACCAGGTCCAGCTTTCCAGTATGAGAACGCAGGGCCAATGGATGACAGTAGCGCTTGAGAGTGCTCCCCAGGACAAGACGGGGCTCAGATCATTGCAAAACTGCCCACGATCAACTGTCCGTGAGGAAACCCTCGCACCGTACGTGCACCAGAGGCAAGCCGTGTCAGTCAGATTATCAGTGAGACCTACACATTTAGTGCAGCAGACCGGTAGAGGCGGTCGCGGCCACGTATGCAGGGGCACGCACATTGGCTCCATGAAAAAGCCCGTGCATCCATCAACCAGCCACTTCATGGCCGATGCGTGGCGGAATAGCGGCCCGGCTTCACAGTAGCGAGAGTCCCGCAGTGTGGGTCTCGGGAGGGCGATCCAGTGCAGTCACAATGAGACAGAGGGACCGCACAGAGACAGACCGGCCCATTCTTAGCACATCAGTCATACCAGACCCAGCTTCCCAATGGTGGGCATCGCAAGGGTCAAGAAAGAACTGCACATCGGTCCAGCCCAGCTTCCCAACATGTGGGTCTCGCAAGGGCGGCGCACAAGAGCGCTATGAAACCGAATACTGCAGTCCGCAGGGGCCATATCTCCGCTGTCGAGCCAGTCCCAACTTCCCAGAATAGACATCGCAGAGCCAATGGATGACAGCAGCGCTTAAGGAGTGCTCCCCACTGTCCTTCGCATAGCTTCGTGGTTAGAGGTTGGGGTTTTCCGTTCTTTCAAATCAGTTGCTATTTACGCAAACGTCTTTCTATAAAAGCGAATCAAATATTGTATCTTCCAAATGAATCCAAAAGGAGCGCAAGATAAAAGCTGAGCGAATGAAATATATATTTGACAATCAAGAGCACTCGGACGACACTCGTTTTATTCGCAGCGGTTGGTAGTCTCGCGGTGCCCTTGGTAGGGCGGATGCATGTTGATGCATCCAACCCCCCCGCGGCATGGAAAAGACTATTCTCGGAATGTGCTGACATTCCAGGGTGGGTTGGGTGGGCAAAAGAAAACGATATGAGCCACGGCCTGAGCCTGACGTGGCTACCCATTCGAGACTGCAACATTGCGAGACCGTGGGACTGACCCGGAAAGACATGGATTGAAAATCACTCAAGAAATTCAAGCCGAAAGCAAAACTAAAATCTGACTGAGAAAATTTTTCTTCTTTCAAACAAAGCGCACGGGATCCATCTAGGATCCAAGTCCTCAGCTAAGAACACCCCGCCCCGCCCGTCAGCTAGCTCCGGACAGATCTACAGGGTGAAACCCGGTTTAGCTTGTCCTTCGCATAGCTTCGTGGTTAGAGGTTGGGGTTTTCCGTTCTTTCAAATCAGTTGCTATTTACGCAAACGTCTTTCTATAAAAGCGAATCAAATATTGTATCTTCCAAATGAATCCAAAAGGAGCGCAAGATAAAAGCTGAGCGAATGAAATATATATTTGACAATCATGAGCACTCGGACGACACTCGTTTTAGTCGCAGCGGTTGGTAGTCTCGCGGTGCCCTTGGTAGGGCGGATGCATGTTGATGCATCCAACCCCCTTTCCCCTGAGCCCTTCGTGCTGAGTCGAAGCTTTCTTTGGTCTCCCACAACTGATGCAGAAGCGAAAGCGGCAAATCCGAGTATGTGCATGCAATGCGATGTTCGTCCGAGAAGTTGGTGAAAATCTCGTTGGTAAGTTGGTCTGCGTACTGATTCTCATCGCGCGGCCTCCACCGTAGGAGGAGCTTCAAGGAAGAGCGAAGAAGCAAGTCAGACAACTGCATGTTGATCAACATGAGTGGCCACTTTGTTGACGACCCCTTCTTGAGCAATCTCGAGTTGCCCTGATTGTCTGTGTCCGCAGCGCACTCAATGTCCAATTCCTTTCTGTCCACAGAGGCTGCCAAGCATCCGAAAACGTGAAGAGCCGCCAATGTTGCCAGCAGTTCTGCTGAGCCTGATGCCCATTGTGATTTTCCCTCCTGATCAAACAAGTACGGTGCATCACCCGGTGTCAAGCGCAGCGAAAACCACTTAGAAATCTTAGTGTCATCACTTAACTCCCAACCGGCCAACACGACGAATCCGTCGGCCGGTATTTCGCACCTCACTCGGCCCATGCGCCTTCTAGCGCTCGGCCCGCAATCCACTGAAAATTGACCTCGTTGGCGCACACTACGAAGCATTACGAGCTTTAACCATATCCCTGGGACAGACCGATTTGCTTCCGCCGGTGCAACAGGCTAGGGAGATCCTGACTCGGGGGCACGCTTGGGCCAGACAGTCGCCCAAGCGACTTCTTAATTACACTATTAATAGTTCCTGCAGCCAAGACCATAGGCCAGTTGCTCTCTCTTATATCCATGTTTCAAAACTGCGCTATGTTATGGTGTAGTCTCTGGCTGTTTCGTTATGGCGTAAGTCCTTCCCTCTGGTTCTGGCCGGAACTCGCTCCAGAACGTGGCGTGGGAGGCCCAGGACTGGCTTTTAGAACGCTCGAAAGTGCGCGCAAAGTCCATGCAAAATCTTTCGGGCCGTAGTGCGGCCTGGCAGGGGTCGGAGTTTGCATGCTCGGCTTCTGAGCTGCCGCCAGAATTCCAAAACTTTCTCAATTCATTCGTGCGCTGCACATGGAAATTCGAGTTCTTTCAGCTGTGAACAGACTTCATCGGAGCAGCGTCGAAACGATTGCGGCGTGTATGCTGCCAGCGCCCACATATGACCTTCATGTGGCTCAATTTTATGATAGCGTCGTGCGTTGAAAGACATGGGTTTGTCATGAATGTCGATCCATGAACCTTTGAGCTCGTAAGTTTTGTTGTTTTTGCTTAGTTTTTCAATTGAAGTTCCTGCATCATCTTCGAGCGACTCCCAGGTCTACGGCGGGCTGATGTACAGGGGAGGCCCGCTCAAGCGAAGCCAGAATTGCTGGACTTTTCCAGCCCTACATTTGGAGTCGCGAAGCTTGCGATTTTCACCAACAGTGCAAAGCCTCTCGAACCGTCATTTGTGGGGTTTCGAGACAGAAACTGAAGCCTTCCAAAGCCTCCCTCGTGGGTTCGGAGCTTACAATCTTACCGTAGTCTCTGCACTCTTCTGGTCTTGTAGTTCCTGCAGCTTGCAGCTGTCCCTGCTATCTTGTGCTTCACGTTGGTAGATTTCTCGGCTTGCGCGTGTCATCCTTGCGCAGGGGCCATGCTAATCTTCTCTATCTCGTTCCTCCACCTTCGGAAAGCACACGGCAAACGAGAGTGCCTCAACTGCTGAAGCAGTGCGAGCTTCGCGAGAACATGCTTTGATTCATGCATGCTTTCACTGAAGAAGTGTTGACACCGTTTGGGACATGACCTGGACTACAATGCTAAAGGCAGCTCCATGCACAAAAACCGTGCATGGGTCCCGCCTCGCCG